TCCAAAAAGTCTATTAAATTTCAGTAGTGTACAAAGCATATAATAAAGATACTTTTACTCTACTTGCTCACTGTACCTTCAGATATTACACGTAATTACATTGTTTGAGTGTTAGTAAACAGGTTTAGATCAACTGATTACCTGTCTTGCTGTGATATTGTGTACAAGAGATAGTGTATTAGTAATATATTGAATTATCGTATAATTGACCTAAATTTATTGAGACTGATTAGTTTAACTTTTCACTTGTTCTGCACAGATTGTGACAATTCCTTTACAACCCTTACCATCTACTTTACAAGACTTGATGCATTGGATACCTTTAGTTTTCTTAGTTACCAATACAACTTGTTTTTTTCTTTTATGACACTTGGTTATATAGGAGATGTAGTTCATTTACCATATCTATATGCTTTTACTATTAATAGTCGTGCATACCACCAAATTCATTCTGCTGATACAAGAGGTTACCCAGTTAACTAGTTTGTTTATGATACTAAAGTACGAAATTATGATACAAGTCAATATAACCTAGATCAATACATAGTTAATGTTATTGAAAAAGAGTTAGCTACAATAAATCCATTTGTTCAAGATTTATATTAATTATGTGATATAAATTTTTTATAAGCTCGATTGGTAGTTTAACAATTAACAACTGGTACCAAAATTGCTGTATACATAATTATTTATTCGATAGCTATAGTTCAAGAATAATGTATACAAATATGGCACATTAGTGAAGACAAGTCTGATTACATTAATATCCTTAACAAATACTATGAAGCACTGCAATATTTACTTTTTTTTTATACAGTGAAATTGGCTGGCATATATATTAGATAAATACTGAATATTCTAATTTGCAAAAGGTTTCACAAGTTGATTACTACTGTTATCGTATTATAACCAAAACCAGATTTCATTTACTTGGTCATTTATTCAATGAATATTTAATGGATATGTTTAGCCAGACAAATGATAAACGTCTGCAATTTATATGTAGAAAACAGTATAGATTTTGAAAAGATGGTTGAGATGAAGATAAGTCACTTGGTAATGAAGTAGAATTACATTTTGATAATATTTATTTGTCAGCTTTACATATTCTTTCATATAGATAGTTCGACAAAAAAACAATGGATGCTTTAGCGATTGTAAGTAAGTTTGATCAGTTAACACTTTTTATTACTTTTACAACAAATTCAAATTGACAAGAGATTAAACAATAATTGCGTGTTTGATAAAATTACGCCGATTGACCTGATATCATTATTCGTGTGTTTAAGCAATATTTAACTTATTTACAAAAGTTTTTAAAAAGTATTTTGACAAAATTATTTATTATATACATGCTGTTAAATTTCAAAAATGTAGCTTGTCACATGTATATATTATAATTAAATTAGCATCAAATTTATTACAATCAGAAGATATTGACAAAGTAGTAAATGTTGAATTATCTGTAGAAAACAATTTTTAACAAAATCATCTTCATGAGTTGGTGAAATAATTTATAATTTACTATTGTAATTAAAGATGTACATGGTAAAATAATTAATGTCACTGAAATTATCCTCAAACAATTCAAGAATATACTGTAATCAATGAACAGGACTATATCTATTATAAGCATCATACTGAAAATGATATTAATGTGATACCATACAATACTTTCCTTTTGCTTAAATTAAATTTGCATATAAATGTTAAAGTGGTCTCTATATTATATGTTATATTTTATTTGTACTAATATATATATAAGAGATTAAATTGAACCATGATTACCGTTCGGACTATACATATTCTCAAAATTGATTTGAATTTTTGAGATATTTCAATTTTTTGAGATTTATACAGAATCTATTCTTATATGGAAGTAAAAAAAAACATCCAGTTATGTGTATATTCAATCAAAAAATAAATCTAGATAATCAAAAAATTTTAGGTTTTAAGTAATAATTCGTCTTTTATGAAAAACTATTTTGACTTTTTTTTTTAAAAAATTGTAATTTCAGGATTCCAAAATAATTTTACATGCAAATATAATTTAAACAGAAGAAAAAATAAATTAGATAACAAAAAAATTGATAAAATTAGTGACTATATAAATACACATTAGTAGCAGGGAGTACGAGTAAACTTTTTTTTTAGTGAGTAGGATTTTTGTGCTTTTTTATATACCCTTTAGTCTGTAAGTTTTTAGAACTAAAATTACTAAAATTGATAATAATTTTTGATATATATCAAAAATCAATATCTAGAAACATGCTTTAAACAAGATGTTTTTTTCTTCTTTAAACTGATTTTTAGAAGTTCAAGAACTGTAATTTGTTTTCTTGACAAAATAAAGTGATTTAAAACTTAAGAACTATAATTTACTTCCTTGACAGAGTGGAGCAATTTAAAACTTAAAAAAAATAATTTATTTTCTTAACAGAGTAGAATGATTTAAAACTTAAAAAATATAATTTGTTTTCTTTAATAAAAAAAAAATACTTAAAATCTTAAATTTATATTAATTATTTGTGTAGTTATTTGGATTTTAATTATTTTTTAAATATTTAAAATCTATATTGTAATCTTGTTTAACTGAAATTTCTGAAATCTCGTCTTATAACTTTATTACTCAAAGCCAGATAATTATTATGAGAAAGTAGGTAAATAAGTCGTGTTCTTGTTAAACTAGTAAGAATAAAACTACAAAATATAAAAAAAGAAAAATAGTTAATCTAATTAAGATCTAGTTTTGAATAGATACCATAAAAAGTGAAATATAACAAATTAGTTAATATTAACTATATATATCTAAATACGAACTTGTAGGTAAGTAAAATATATAAATGAAATAAATATTTTTTATTTAAACAAAAGATCTGAATAATTAATATATAATAAAAAATACTGAAAAATATGGTAGGTAAATGTCCAGGATGTGAATGGAGTCTTAAAACTGAAAAAACAAAAGATCTTAATAAACATATGGACCTAATACGAAATAGGTCATGTCTAACTTTATTGTAAATATCTTATAATACTTAACCTATAACCAATTCAAATTTGTAGTCTCAAGATCCCAATACAAGAAAATTAGGTGAATATGTCAAATAATAGGGATCGAAATTACAAAAAAAAAGTTAAAGAATTAAGTGACAAGAATCGTGGTCAGCTAAAAAATTTGGCCAAAATCAAAGCTCTTTATGATGAGTTATTACAACTGAATTCAAATATATATTTTCAACCTGCAATAGAAAAAGAATTATATGAAGCACAAGGATTCATTGATCAGCTTAAAATTGAAGAAGCAAATTTTCAACATGAGCTATTTTCAATGGTACAACAGGAAATTGATTCTGAAGCTGGAAGCAAATTTTCAACATGAGTCATTTTCAATGGTACAACAGGAAATTGATTCTAAAGCTGGTTCAGGTTCTCAAACCTAAGTTCATCATAAAGGTAAACTTACTGAATTAAAAGGAATAGTAACTTAACAAACTATGCCATTAGATAATACAGAATT